AGACTTAATGATCTATGAAGCTTCAGTATCAGTTGATTCTCTTTTCGTCTCTGCTATATTTGCGACTATATAAGATCTTTGTTACGTGCCATACTGTGGCTCGTGCTGTTACAAGTGGAACAGGAGACGCTTGGATGTGGGGTGGAGGTAGAGATAACGCACTCAAGTTTGCGTGAACAGCATTAATGACATCCAAAACATATCGCCTAGCGTTTTCGATGGTTTGAAATTTTTCCAAGTTGGAATAATCAATGGCTCTTTTCTGTGAGGTTTGTTCAGAGGTTTATGCGTGGGGTGTGGGTGGGGGGTAGACAGAGAGGTTTATGGGGGATGGGGTATGTTGATGGCCTGATAACGGAGATAAATTAAAATTCAGACATACAAACAGACAGACAGACAGACAGACAGACAAACAGACAGTCAAAGTGCAACACAAAGTCATAGAAATGACTCAATATGTTTCTTATCTCACACCTGCCATCCTGCCCCCTCCCTACACACACACACACACACACACACACACACACACACACACACACACACACACTCACACACACACACACACATGCACACACACACACACACACACACACGCACAAGCACACACACACACACACGCACGCATGCACACATGCACTCACACACCTTGAATGTGTGTGGTTGGCGAGTGCTCTTTCATTCCGATCAAACTTCTATCATTCTTATTTCTCTTCCTTTTCGTGTTTGTAACTCTCTAGTAACACCTGTAATTTTCAGCACTTTTTATGACCCATTTACATTGCAAAAAGCTGTAAAACTCTTACAAAAACTGGACTAAACACCCAGAAAAATAAACAAACATTACTTGCAATCGTAGAAGCATTGACAATCTCGCAATTTTTGGCGCTTCCAAAACCATTACTGGCTGAGATGCTGAAAAAGTAGTCTGTCTTCTGCTGGAGCCCGGTGACATTCACAGCCTGTCTACTGTACTGTGTGACGTCACTGGCAGTGACCTCCTGACGTCGTCCCAACTCGCGTGAGTCGTTGTTCAGTCCGCTGTGACGTAGCACGAAGAACGTCTGCTCTTGACCTCCGTCAGAGCCAGCGTGCCACTGAAGAGTGACGTAGTTGCTGCTCACTTTACTGACCTCCAGAGATATGGGGCACCGTGGTGGCCCTACAGTGACAAACATGATTGCATTATTGTTATTGGGTTTTTTTATTATCATCGTCATCATCATCATCATCCTTATCATCATCATCATTATCATTATCTCCATCCTCAACATCATCATCGTTATTATTATTATTATTATTAGTAGTAGTAGTAGTAGTAGTAGTAGTAGTAGTAGTAGTAGCAGTAGTAGTAGTAGTAGTAGTAGTAGTAGTAGTAGTAGTAGTAGTAGTAGTAGAAGTAGTACTATCATCACCATCACCATCATCATCATCATCATGAATATTATTATTATCATTAATATCATTATCATCATCGCCATCATCATCATCATCAATATAATATATTATTATTATTATTATTATTATAACATATATTATTATCATCATTATTATCATTTTCAGTCCCCATTGCAGACACTGTGACTACCTCGAGGAGACCGTTGAACATCTTCTCCTTCATTGCCCAAACCTGGCAGTTTTTCCACGCAGGCTCCTACACCCGCCTACAGACTTACAAAGCCTGCTCTACTCTTTTTAGTTTTAGTAGAAGTTTTACGGCACTCGCAACTGCATAAGGTCATATGAGAGCCAGAAGATTAGAGGTGTTACAAGAGAGTAACAAACATAAAAAAAAGAAGGGGAGATAAGGACGATAGATGTTTGATAGGAAAGAAGAAGCAAACCACAACAGAGCACCTGCCAACCACCCACTTGCCCAAACCTGGCAGTTCTTCGACGCAGGCTCCTACACACACCTACAAACTTACAAAGCCTGCTCTACTCTGACGTTGACCACCTGATATGCGGTTACTTGAGGGAGGCATTGTGCTGCCAAGAGCAAAATACTCGCAGCTGAAGGAATTTGAAAACAACAACAACATCATTTTCAGTATAATTATTGATATTGCCATAATCGTTATTACACTAGTCTTTTTATTATTATTATAGAAGTAGGGGTAGTAGTAGTAGGAGTAGTAGTAGTAGTAGTAGTAGTAGTAGTAGTAGGAGGAGGAGGAGGAGGAGGAGCAGCAGCAGCAGCAGCAGCAGCAGCAGCATCACCAGCAGCAGCAGCAGCAGCAGCAGCAGCATCACCAGCAGCTG